TCCCTTGTCTTCCAGGGTGACCCTGGCCTTGTGGGACCCGAGGGGCTGGCTGGCGAGCCGGGACCCCCAGGGAAGCCAGGATCTCCAGGGATTGGCTTTCCAGGGAAGCCGGTAAGGACCCCTGTGCCTGTGCCCGGATGACATGCCCAGTGGGCATTGCCATGGGAAGGGATGAGGTGTTCCAGAGCTAACACCACCCTCTGTCCCTTCCAGGGTGACCCTGGTGGCCCCCCAGGTCCGAAGGGAGAGAAGGTGAGTGGAGGGAAGGGGGTCCCAGCTGCCCCTCCCTGCCCATGGGGGCTGGTGGGGACTGGGATTAGGAGCTGGATCTGGCACTGCTGAGCCAGTGCTGGCTGGTGGAGCTGCCACCTGCTCAAGCCCCAGCTGGGTGGCCCAAGGACCTGGCTTGAGGGGCAGGGACCCCCCCGGGGGGACAAGGGTATCCCTGGGGTGCCAAGGGCTGCGGTGTTTTCCCCTGCTGGGCTCAGGCTTTCCCATCTCTGGCTCCAGGGCAGCTCGGGAGCTCCTGGACCCGGAGGATCGCCTGGGACACCCGTGAGTACCAGGAGCCTGGAGCCAAGGCCCGGGGTCAGGGACGGGTTTCTTGGCTTGGGGTTGGGGCTGTTTGGCCAGAGCAGTGGTGGGATCCAAGCCCAGGAGCTGAGAGGGATTTGGGATCACCCAGTGATCTGGCGGCCTGGCTCGGGGCTGGGATCATCCAGTGCCACAGCTGGTGGAGAATCAGGGGGAGCTGCGTGGCACTGCCAGGGCACACCTTTGCCTCGGGGCTCCCTGAAGCAGCCCCCTGCCCACCTTCCTCCCACAGGGTCCCCCCGGTGCCCTGGGGCCAAAAGGAGACAAGGTAGGTGCCATGGGCTGGTGCTGGCACAGCCCCACCACAGTGCCCATCCCTCACCTCGGGGCTGCTCGGGGGCCACTCCAAGGACCCCCCGACCTGGGCTGTGTCTCACTGTCCCCACTGGGCAGGGTGAGCCGTGTGAGGTGTGTCCCACTGTCACTGAGGGGACGCTCGGTGCCATCGGGGTGCCCGGCAAACCAGGACCCAGGGGAGAGCCCGGAGCGCCCGGCAGGGACGGGGTCTCGGTGAGTCTGAACCTGGGGGTTTGTGGGGTGGAGGGCAGGGCAGGGGCTCATCTCAGCATCCCTGATGCTCCCTTTGATTCCCCCTTCCCAGGACAGACCCGGCCCTGCAGGACCCAAAGGGGACAGGGTAGGTGACATGGGGTCGACTGGCTTGTCCCCCTCTGGGGACACCAAGCACCATCCAGCCCGTGCTGGCAGCACCCAGCCCAGCTCCTGTGTTTCCTTTCCAGGGAGATCGTGGCATCCAGGGGATGAAGGGGGAGAAGGTGAGTGTCCAACCCTCTGTCCCACCCTCCATGTGAGCCCCTGCAGCCCCCTGAGCTGTCCCCTGTCCCACCCCCCAGGGGGACTCGTGTCTGTCCTGCGATGTCCGTGTGCTCGCCGCGCTGCGCCGGGGCCCTGCCGAGGGGTTTGAGGGTGAGCCGGGGCTGCCGGTGAGTCCTGGGGCTGAGCCCCCCCGTCCCGTGCTGGGGGGACACCCCGGTCACCCCAGGGCTGCCGGGGGTGCCGGGGGTGTGACCATGGGGGGTGTTCAGCAGGGTGACCTGGGGCTCCCTGGGCTGGCTGGGATCAAGGGTGAGAAGGTGAGTAACCTCCACACCCACCCCCCTTCCCGCATGGCTGGAGTCAGTGGGAATGGCTGGATCACCCCATGGGCTTGGGGCAGCCTTGTCTGACCCCGACTGTGTCCCTGTCCCTGACCCTGCTCCGTTTCAGGGGGACGGTGGCCAGCTGGGACCCACGGGCAGACCGGTGAGTGGGGACACAGGTGGGCAGGGGGGATGTGGGGGCTCAGGGTGGGTGCTGGCAGCCCAGGGTGGGCAGGAGCCAGGTGTTGGGGGCCGTGGTCTCACCTCTGCCGTGGCTTCTCGGTGCAGGGGCTCCCGGGAAAGAAGGGTGACCCGGGTGTGCAGGGGCTCAAAGGAGAGAAGGTGAGCCCTGCCATGGGGACCCCCAGGACCCCTCTCCCTGCCCTGTCCGTGCCACCTCCCCAGCTGTGACCTGTGCAGCTCATTGCACGGGAGGTGCACATTGCCCTGAGGTGGGCACAGCAGCGCTCCGGTCCCCAGAGCCACATTCCAAGGGGGATGTCCCTGTGCAGGGGGAGCCGTGCGGGCAGTGCCCTCCCACCCCACAGGCCCTCCAAGGGGCAGCGACAGTGGTGGCTGTGCCAGGACCACCAGGAGAAAGGGGCCAGAGTGGCCCCCCGGGCAGAGCGGTGAGTGCCCCCCGTGCCCACAGTGCCCAGCTTGGGGGGGATGCTCCAGCCTGACCCGTCCCTCCGTTTCCCCAGGGCAGACCGGGCGACGCTGGGCAGAAGGGGCAGAAGGTGAGAGGGCCTGGGAGGGGGTCCCAGCGGGGCTGGTGATGGCAGAGGCGGCTGTGACCCCTGCGTGCCATGTCCCTTCCCTCCCCACGTGCCCTCTCTTTGCCAGGGGGACGCTGGCAGCCCCGGGGACCCGGGCACGCCGGGCATGGCCGGTGTCCCAGGGCTGTCGGGTGAGCCTGGAATCAGGGGTCCGGCCGGCCCCAAAGGCGAGA